TGGGTTGGCTTTTAGCGGCGTTCATTGCCTTAGTAACTTACTGTTCATTACTGATGTCACTCTTTCATGTGCACGTGCTCCATTAACTTAGGATCAAGCTTGAGTTCACAGAGAAAGTTGATGATCAGCTTCATGGTACCAACAAAGCCGGATTGGACTGGTTTGGTTTTGTCAACTCAAAACTAATCCTGTAACCCTGAGTTTGTTCAGCCACCATCATGGTACCCACCCCTGGTCACTGGTCAGGAGTCAGAAGATATATAAAAGGTATACAGGTATAAATAACATCTTTAAGGAAATGTCACTTATTCCCCTCATAAGCAGAAATTGTCCTGTTCCCCCTAGTGACAGCTTTGTGCAACTGTCATAACTCGCTGCTTAACCAGCAAAGTACGATGCATCATTCTAGAAACTAACTAGCTAGTCACAACTGTTTTCCGAGCGTGGTTGCATCCCCGTCGTTTGAGCCACGCTGGTTCAACAATATAGGACGGTCATTAATAACATCACACGCAGGTGCTGGAGTAATAAGTTCTTCTAATTAATTGATTCGGGAGCTCCAAAATGCTGCAGTAATGAACATGGCAGCTGATGACTACTTCATTATTTTTTGTTCCTTGTCATTTTGCTTTATGTGATGCTTAATTCATCATGGGTTCCCTCTTATGTCATACTCCGGGTTTCCCTTACTCATTTATGCACGTGCACTCTATAAAAATAGCGTCTTCTGGGATTTCTAACGGTTCGATTTTCTCAAGTCTGCATTCGATGCATCCTCGATATCAAGAACACATCCGGGCACTTTCATGAGTCCTCTGTACTTGCGTTCTTGAGTATTGGAATTGAACTTCGACAGTTAATGATGACGTAGAGCGAGAACACAAGGACGCAAGATCGCTTAAGAACACATATTGAGAAACAGCCTCTATTTTTTTTTTCAACAGTGTATGCAAACTTGGCTTCAGCAGAGCCAATGCGGCATCAATGGACTTGGTGAAAGTATTTGGAGACAGTGAAGAGCCAGACAGTAGACATTGCCCTCGAAGCAGGCAAGCCTCAGAAAAGTCTGTTACAAGGGACTATTTGTATGTGATAGTATGTGTTATTCAGGTCTACAGATCAAGTCCTCTCTGATGGAGAGACATGAGCTCAGAGCTATTCTTTTTTTGTCATCCCCAAAGCCTTAGAGGAAGGTAATGGCCCATACTTCCACGACATTTGAGGCACAAATGAGCTTCCACAGTCTCAGACTGGGTATGGGATTGAAAAACGCCACAGTGGAGTGAAATGTCCATGTATTCAAGCGCTCACAGCATGGACATGATGATCAATCGAGAACATCACAACACAAGCCCACCATCTCACAAGCAGTCGAGTCAACCGATCAATTCAGTGGAGAAAGTGTGCAAGTATAAACCAATCTTTCATGAGTTTGTGAATGAATACTCTTTCACAGCAGGCTATAGTACACACAACCCCAAAGACAGAAAATTCTGTATGGATGATTCCATACTTTCGCTTATAGACATGGCTGCGTCACACAGGGTGCATTGCATCGTCTGCCAGTGAACTGACTTGATTTTGTAGTGAGTTCCCACAGCATCATCTACTGACGCATTGAAGTTCCTGAATTGAAAGAGATTATTTTGTTGTTAATGGTGTTATACTTTTGTACATGCCTTATATTAGCATAGTGATGTCTATGATGTGTAACATGTCTATGTTAGATAGATAGATAGACAGACAGACAGATAGATGATAAATAGATAGATAGATAGATAGATAGATAGATAGACAGACAGACAGACAGACAGACAGACTGATAGATAGATAGATAGATAGATAGATAGATAGACAGACAGACAGACAGACAGATAGATAGATAGATAGATAGACAGACAGACAGACAGACAGACAGACTGATAGATAGATAGATAGATAGATAGATAGATAGATAGATAGATAGAGAGATAGATAGATAGATAGATAGATAGATTCCTCTGCAGTTTAAAACAGTGAAGCTAAAATGAGAACGCAAATCAAACAAGGTCATTTTTAAGTGATCTTCGTAATATTTTTAGCTGAAACTCAAGAGGATTTTAACTAGAACATGGCTTTCCATCTAGAAAAAAACAAACGAGAATGTAAAGACAGTTTCATAGAGGTTTATATTAGAAAGCAGTAATTTATATAAAAACAGAACTACATTTACATGTATTAATTTAGAAAAATAAATAAATTAAATAAATAAAAAACAAAATTACATAAAAAATAAATTCATTAAAACAATCAATTCATGTATTAATTAAAAATAATCAAATGAAATAAAAAATATATCTTAACCGTCAGCAATATTTACATTACAATATTTTAACTATAGGGGAGGCCTGTTGTTTTTAATGGAATAGAAAATAAATAAAAATTCTGTCATCATTTACAGATTTTTCCAGTTTTCCATTTTTCCCCAGTTCCATTTGCAGATGATACGAGTTCTCTCATTTAAAAATCACATTTATGGTGTATTGACAACTGGCCATCCATACAAGGTGCCCCCTGACTGTGGATGAACGGGTGGATGGATGGTGCATGGACATTTATATGGTGCTGACTACAACAGCTCAGTCACGTATCTTCAATATAGGTCAGCAGGACACATGAGGATGTGTCGCTGCTCACAGTTCATGATCAGATTGAGTGTTACTCCTTTGAATGCCTAAACATGGAAGGTGGTCATAAGAAGCTTAAGGCAGACTGGAAAGAATTTTATCCATGAGCATTCAAAGTGTTGATGGCTACAGTTTGGCTTAACCACATATTGAATTGATTCTGCATATCATCCTCAACATCAATATGCATAATGGCACATCAAATGAGAAGCCTTTAACTGTAAAATATTTTCACAAGACTGTCCTAGATTTGTCTAGTTTGGTGATATCGTTTGTACACTGATGGCAGTAACTGATGCCCCTTTAATAAAAAAAAAAAACCTGAAACATGCTCCTATTACATCATATTATAATGGATTTCATTTAAAATGACCATTATTATTATTGAAGTGGCCATTATTATAATAATGTACAGCTGATACTGTGGATGAGAATCAAACTCACCAATTAGTTTCGTCTCTCTTTAATGAGACACCTGAGATGTTGCAGTCTTACAGCCAGCAAAAAACGGAAACATTTCCAAGTACCCCTGGAATGGGCCTAAATACCCCCTTGGGGTGCATATACCTCTGGTTGGAAAGCACTAGTTTGGTTAATATTTCAATGCACTTGTCTATAACTTCCCATGGACGCACACATGTCCACATGGATACCCACACATGCTTGCAAAATGTGATTGAACCGTGGCAGGGTAATGGATGAGGGGACATTTAGCCGTAGTCTAGAGTGGATCTGGACTGAGCTGGATTCTGCTGTCATGTTTATTGAATGACAGCTTGGCATTTGAAGCACAAGAGTCTGCCGTGATTCTGCATGTGTGATTTTCTATTTATTTACCCTTCTCTGTCTCTCCCTCTAGTCACTTTCTCTGCTTTTGCGACGTCAGAACACAGAGTGAATAACATGGCATGTGACAGTCTGCTGTTGGAGCACGGCCAAGCTAATTTTGGCATGGTTTTGAAAAAAAAGAAGAAAAATATCCTGGTTGTCATCACAAGAAGAAGAAAAAAGGCTAAATCCCTAAATCATAAAACATATGCAAGGAGTCATAAATTGATGTGGTAGCTGACTGTTGATTGGGTTGATCAATCAACACAATAGGGGTTCTTTAAAAACAGAACAGAATGTTCTGTTTTTATGGTAATGTAGTGTTTCATGCACAAAAGATTCTGAATCAACCCATGATGCCTTCTGCAACTCTTCATCAGCTATCTCTTCTACCGAACACACTGCTCGCCATCCCAAACAGCACAAACTGAGCATGGAACAAAAGTTGCATGCCTGCTTGTGAGCATATACACATGCACATTCATACAGGTGGAGGTAGAACGGAGGAGTAAGTGCACAGGGCAGGTTACAAACTGTGTACCAATAGGTGGCACTCTACCCTTTTTGACTAGAAAGGGCAACCTTGAGCATTTGGGCATCGGGAGGGTGGGGGGATTGGATGGATTCTGGCATACTTATGCTGTTTATCCATACAGACAAGCTTTAAAAATTCCAATGTGGGCTGTGTGTGGAGCTGTAATTGGATGGTTGATGTTTATGAGCATAATCTCATGCCATTTGGCTGTAAGAGAGACAGAGAGAACTGCCCAGACCAATATCTACTTAGTCCATGTCAGTACATGAGTCATTCATTCTGAGACACGACCCCGTTGATAATCAGAGAACTTTCAGAAAATGCACAGAATGTATGCATAATTGTGGATGTGCATTTGAACTTTTTAAACACTTTATATCTCCCAAAGATGTATCCCAAGGAAAACAATATTAAAGCTAAAATTGACAAAATGTGCTTCCAAAGGGTGATCATTTCTGTCCATGGACACTGTTACATATAATCACATCTGTTTCAGTATTTGAATTGTTTTTAGACCAGAGAATATTATTCCGTCAGCAATTAAATCACAATTTCCATCCTAATTAAATGGCACAATCATAAATTGCAACAGTATTTTTGAAGCCAACTTTTTACATAATATACTATATACTGTATATATAATATATATATATGGAACAACAAACATTACAATTTCCGAATTTAAAAAGAGAGAGAGAAATAAAATCATGTTAAAATAAATGAAATCTTTAGACACTGCAGCAGCATTTACAAGAACAGTCTACATGCTATGAATACCAAAAAGGCTTTAATATAATTAACATTTGACAACATATTACATAGACATATTAAAATTGATTTTATTGTGACAAAAACAAAAAACAAAAAAACAAACAACAACTTTACAATGCAACTTACACAGAAAAGGAAAAACAATTAAAAAATATTAAATGGCAAAAGAAACACGCTTAGGGTAAAATAAAACTCTTGGCACAAAAGGGGATAAAAATCAATAATAAACTACATAAAAGTCAAACATCATATGGAGAGATCAGTGTCATATGTTATATGGAGATATTAGTATATATATAATGTTGTGCTTTCATCATGTTATCTCATCTCTGCATTTGCTTTATGGTGACAGGCTCAAAGCTCAGCATCGATTGCTTTAGCAATTCATCTCTCTCTCTCTCTCTCTCATACTGCATAATGTAAAGATAAGCAGGTCAGAGAACCTGTCAATCAGTGTACAGCATGTGTGCATGAGAGGCCATGCAGTCCACAAAAACAAAACAGAAAAGTCAAACAGTATGCTTATGCATATTACAAATAGCCCATAGTTACACATGTACGTACAGCACATCAAATTGCATGCATTTGGCCAGGGACAGTTTTCATGGGTGGATCCCCATTGTCACGGGACCCAGTTACCCCCAGATGACGAGTCTCCAAATTAGCATTTACTTGTCTAAACTGGAAATTTCACAGTTGTTTGTGAATTGGATTAATTTGCTCTTATTAAAAAGTTTATTATTAAGTGATAATGCACTTGAGCATTTAAATGCAAAGAGGGCAGTCAATGTACCTGATCATAAGCTGAGAACTGAACATCATTTCAAGCCCATTTATAAATAAAAACCAAATGAGATAGTCTAAAAACAGCATAAATAAATGAATTCATTTCCCAGCAGGTGGACTGTTGCCAGGAAACCCTCTTCAGATGCTGGTTTCTGCCAGAGCTGGCTTGGATGGTGATGTTTTTAAATATAAATGTTATAATATGCTTTGATGGAGGCCAACAAATAAATAATCTTCAATTATAATAGCACCTTATATAAGAAGAACAATTTATCAATGGCAAAAAAAAAAAAAACCCCGCACAGCAGCACTGAATCTGCTAATGCACCCTTGAAAAGGGCATATCTGTAGGAGTGAGAGTGTGTCAGTGTGTTTTTTTACAAGTGTGTAAATAAGTCAGTGCATTTGAGACTCATACTGTTCACAATCATAGTTTCCCCAGGAGGGCTGCCTTTGTCCAAAACGGCAGAGAGTTCTAAAGGAACTCTCTCCTGAAAGACCCCCATCAGTTCAATGAAGCGAAAAGAGCGGGACAAAATGATTCAAGAAAACAGCAACTGTCTGAAGATAGCACGCATTCTTTGCCCCAGGTGGACTCCAGTGTCTGGAAAGACTAGAACTGTTTGCGGTTGTGTAGAGGAAGTGGACCAAATAATGGAAACGCCACAATAAATAAAGCGCCTTAACTCTGAAAATAAACCGCAACTATAAATGCCGTTGCAAAGATGAGTCACATTAGGCCGACTGTCAGTTAGCAGTAGTTGTAAGCAATGGAGATAGAGGTAAAGGAAGCTAAACAAATTGCAGGTGCATCAGCTGCTTAAACTGCAAAAGTATTCAATGTGCCAAGAGGAAAATCCTGCACTTCCTGTTATGCATTTACATACAAAGTAATTGTAATAACTGTGTAATAACTAGGTACTAACCGTAAACTAAACCTAAACTCGTAGTTACGTTATTTTATTCAGTAGTTTGTTGTGTAAGTAAACTGTACAGTAAGTGCACGCACTTTCAAATATAGTGCAAATGAAAATTCCCCTAGGCACAGATGGACAAAATCGACACCTGACCGAGTTGTTACTAAATTCCAAAAAGTACCGTATCGGACCCTAAAATCCATTGTGTACCTCATAACCATCATGCATGTCTCAGCACACTGGAGGATCTGTAATGGTTTGGACAATTACAAGACCAAGTGTAACTTATGAATAGTAATAATAATAATACTTAATGTAGAATGGTTCATCTCGCTACACACTTGTATTCCTTCAAAAATCGACTCAAGCTGTTATGGCAAAGGATGGCTTTAAATTTAGTTTAGTGTTGCTTGCTGCTTCTTTTCAGGGTAAAAGTGACATGGCTGCTATAAGGCTTGCAATTGCTGGAAAAGTATTACCTGCACATTATTGCGAGTGTCTGCAGAGTTTTTTATTTTTATTATTATTATTTTGTATGAAGGGAGAATGTTGAGTGTGTAATTATGTGACAGTGTCAAAACAAGAGTGCCACAAATGCCATTGCACCTTGACTGTCTTTAGGAAGGAGGAAAATCATTCTGCAGTCGGAGAGTTTCATACCAGAGCGATGAGAGGTCAATACATGCTATCGGGCTGAAGGGAGGAAGGGGGCAAAGATTGTCCCCTTTTAGCACAATCACAGTTACATCTTCAGCAGCAGACCCTGAATGTGTCTCTCATCCATCCATCCTTCCATCTATCCATCTGTCAGTTTGTTAGATGGCCATGTTTTCAGTCGCCTTTCTCTGTGGTTTCTAACAGGGCTTACACTTCCCTGAAAGAGAGAGAGAGAGAGAGAGAGAGAGAGAGGAAAAAAGAGAAGAAAATAAGCAAAAAAGGCGAGGAGGCAGGGACTTCAAGCACCAAGTGTAAATAAAACCATTCACATGTATGAAGCTACTGTATGGGTTAACAAATATGGCTGTTTTTGCTACCCCATCACAGATGCATAAACATGACATTTTAACTCTCATAACAGGTGAATAGTTCATGGTTTTCAACCACATTTCATGTTTGATATGCCTTGAAAACGACTGTGTTGACAACTATTAGCAAATATAACCGACTGTCAGCTTTTATTCTCCACATAACATTGATTTTACATCACTCTGTCTAGACTTCATCAACAAAGCAAAAGGCCTATCCAGTGTATGGCTGAGAAGTGTATTTATGTTCTGAATACAGTCATAGGTTTGCTTATTTGTGTTGACAGTTTTTGGATATAAACATGCAGCAGGCCTGGTTCTTGCCAGTCATGGCAGAGTGACAATGTGAGGGATCCTAGGTGGAGGATAGATAGATAGACAGACAGATAGATAGATAGATAGATAGATAGATAGACAGACAGATAGACAGATAGATAGATAGATAGATAGACAGAGAGATAGATGATAGATGATAGATAGATAGATAGACAGAGAGATAGATGATAGATGATAGATAGACAGATAGATAGATAGATAGATGGATGAAGATAGCTTCCTCTCCTGGAGATAAAATATAATTTAGTTCCTGTATTGATCCAGTAAGACTGCCCTAAGAAATCTGCAGAGAAATGTGATGAATTGCTCAGCTCTTAGACACTAGATTTATATGGAAATGAAAAAGGCTCCCTGACAAACCTGTTTATCAAAGCTTATGTCTGGAGGCCAATCAGCTTTCAGACACGACTTTCTTCTCGTTTTAATAGTTCGTTTGAGATGGTTTCTATGGAGTTATTTTAATGACAAATGTCCAGAGTGCATATTGCCTATGCGAGAGCACATTTGCGAACGCAAATCTCTCTGCTTGCAGGTGGATTCCCATTCATTCACTCTCACAGAATACGGACGCGCTCTCTATCGGTCAGACATTACATGTGTGCGCTCAAAAATCTTCTCTCCCGAGTTTAATAAACGCAACCTGGAGTGTGGGCATCCACCGGCAGAAAATTGGCGCATATATGCCAACGAATGTAAATCAGTAGCCTATTTACATAGCATAACAGTAATAAATGTATCTGTTTCGCACAAGTCCCGCATTGTCCCGTAAAATCAACTAATTTAAATCAGTAAATTTTAACGAAAACAATACATTATAAAAATGAAAAGAAGCAGTTTTTTTTGCGATCAGATCAGCCGGTAAAGTCCTGGAAAGTCTAAGAATCCAGTAAGCGAATGCATTCAAACAGTAAGTTCAAAACAGCGCTAATGCAGAGAAAACACGGCCGATGTCATCAGAGATAGCGGAGATAATAGTACTCACATACAGATGTCAGTAAAAAAAATCAGCAAGCTATCTAACTTAAAAGCACGAGTGTTTTATACTGGATGCTGGCTGAAGGTGTTTTAGTTTACGCAGTAGTGGTTTAGTAAAGCTGGATCAGTCAGGTCAAGGTAGCTCGTTTAGTGGTCTTTTGACGTCCCCCTGTGTTCCTGTTTGTTATCGCAGATTGACTTGTGCAATGCTGTAAACTACTAAATGTAATGTAGAAATGTTAATTATCTGTGAAGCTGCTTCGCAATAGTGTATCATGAAAAGTGCTATAGAAATAAACATGAATTGAATTGCATGCAATATATGTAACTTAAATAAGTAATAATAAAAAAAAGAGATAGTTATTTAATAATATGCTAGTAACATTTGTACAGTCTTACAGTTACAACCGGCCCTTTGATGGCAGCCATAATGTTGAAGTGGCCTTCAGTGAAAATGAGTTTGACACCCCTGTGCTATTGCGTTTCCAGTGAGAACATGAAAAGAGCAATTAAACACTATAATTTTTTTAGTCTTTTAGTCTTTAAATAAAATCTAAAAATCAGAGCAGAGGTATTTTAAATAAATGGTGGAATCAACAAGCCCATACCCTATTCCCAAATGATGATGGCGCTCAGCCGGGTGATGGTGCTTCGATTGGTGCTGGTGATCATTCAGAAGGATCTGTGAACTTTCTTTGACTTAAAAGGCAAACAATGATGTAAGTGACAATGTTATTACATATTCAGCCCTCAAACTAATTTATGATTTGTGGTCATTGTTTACAAGTCATACTCCCAGTTCTCATTTCAATACTGATTATGTTTCCAGGTTTTTGAGTGTGCACATCTGTTTCTTGTTTATCCCCTTGTTATCCCTTTTGTATATATAGCACTTATTTTCCTTAGTCCTTTGTCTGATCCTGTCTTGATTTATCTATGTTAAGCTGTTGTTTATTTGGGATTGGATTTTCTCCTGTGTTCCTGGATATCTTCACCTTGTTCATTAATTAAAAAGCTGCACTTATATCTGTAAGTGTAATTACAAAAAAGTCAAATAACCCAAAATTGAACCCTGAGGGACACCAGCGTGGACAGAGCTGATCTTTTTATCCAATACATGTTTATTCAATATACTTTTTGCAACCTCCATTTGCTAAGATAACAGCTCTAAGTCTTCTCTTATAATGCCTGATGAGGTTGGCGAACACCTGGCAAGAGATTAGAAACAAAACCTTTCCAGATCATTCAAATTCAGAGGTCCATGTTGGTGTCTCTCTTCTTCAGCTCACTCCACTCATTTTCTATAGGGTTCAGGTCAGGGGACTGGAATTGCCATGGCCGAACCTTCATTTTGTGCTCAGTGACCCATTTTTGCGTTGATTTTGATGTTTGTTTTGGATCATTGTACCGATGGAAGATCCAGCAATTGCCCATTATAACATTTTTTTATACAGCTTCATACAGTTTTAATTTTATGTGCAAATGCTTGTGTGTTAGTGATGTTTGTGGGCTCTTTACTAACATGTTTTATCTATGATAAAGTATTTATTATGCACATTTGTGAACCTTATTGTTGAAGTGTGACTAGTACTGGGTAGTAACCGATTATATGTAATCTGGATTACGTACAATATTAAGTACTTCTAATTACATTACAGTGCATTTTAAAGTACTCGGAATGAGACTACAGTTACTTTTTAATTGATTAAATGATTACATATTATTCACACAATAGCAATAAATTATTCATATAAATTACTCAAAAATTCTTCTTTTTCATCTTTTAAATGTACCTTTCTAAAATAGCCTGCCACTTATAAACATTCAGAAATGCTTCCAGTGTTGATGGCATTTTATTTTATTTCATTTTGATTGTTGTTATTTAAAAATGATTTATCTTCATTTTACATTTTTTTATTTTTTCCCAGTTTGGGAAACCATGACACAATGTAATGTTTAGTGCACTTCATATTGTTAATAACAACAAATGGAATATATTTTCTTTCCCTTTGTATACCAATCAACCAACCAATCAATCAATCAATCAATCAATCAATCAATCAATCAATCAATCAATCAATCAATCAATCAATCAATCAATCAATCAATCAATCAATCAATCAATCAATCAATCAATCAATCAATCAATCAATCAACCAACCAATCAATCAATCAATCAATCAATCAATCAATCAAGCGGATGCCCTGGAAATACATAGGTAACAAATGCAAACAGAAACACATACACACAAACAAACATCTACTATGGTACCTCAGACTGTGCTATGTGAGTGTGAATCCATGAAGATATGATAAATCTGGGTCTCTGCGTCTCACATCCAACATTTCCTGACATATCTAAGATGGGCAGTAATTGAATGATCATTACACCAAAGTTATGGCAAAGGCCTGCGTGAAGATGGGAAAATGGGGGATTTCGGGCTGCGCTGACATTTATTGCCTTTGATTTATGAGAAAAACGCTTCCTCTCGCGTCAGGCACTCCAGTGAGCAATAAAGTGTAGAGCTTATCACCCCCAGGTAGCTTCTGTGAAACTGCCACATATGTGTGCACACACACACACACACGCCAACTCAGCCAATGTGCCTCCTTAATGTCTGCACCTGAATGGAGCTATTCATTAAACAGCCACCGGCAGGCTGCAATGCCCACTATGATTTCTATGTCAGACGCGCACCGACATACTGAACGTGTGTGTATGAGAGAGTCGAGGTATCTCATATTTTCCTTTTGTCCCGTGGCAGCGCTTTCATGGAGGCTTTGAGGCCTTTTTCTTTCATTTCTTTTTCTCTCTGGATTTGGAAAGAGAAAGGTGACATGAGGACAGTGAAAATCTGACCCACGTTCAGTTTGGGAACGATCAGCTGAATATTAATTAACTTCTTGGAACAAAAGTCTTTCACATTTTAGACATTCCAAAATTACACCATTTGATATTACACTATTTATCTCTAGAATATTATGTAAACAATGACAAAAACATTTCAGTACAGCAACATTTAAGCATTTTAATCTATTAGCTCAATCAAGTTACAATGTATTTTTCATGTAGAATAATGAATACAATATAAGATTAGATAAATACAATCCTTATATTGTAATCATTATGATCACAAGCTGTAAGCTGCTCTGAAACGATATGGAAAGTTCTATACAAATAAACGTGAAATGAATTGAACCGAACTCTTATCATCGCCTAAAATATTCATTATGTCTACATGATCAATTATTCTGAATACATGATGCTAACTAGCCACATAACCTGTATTATCTTATAACTGTATACTACTGCCATAAGGATACACATGTCTGACCGGTTATGAGATTACTTCCAGATCGTACCACTAAAATCAATAAAAAAAAAAAAATGCATTGTGAAAAGTGCTATACATATTGAATTGAGTTTACCTAAAATGTGTTTAATGGCGTTTTTTTTTTAAGTTCTCAGCTGTTTCAACCCATACATACATTAGACTTCCTCACAAGTCGTGGATCTAATTGCAGGCTTTATTAGAAGGAGAAGAAGAGAATCCAGTGGAATCAAAACAAAGGAAAACATCCGAGGAAGGTTTAAGCCTGCGACACACCAAACCGACATCAAAGAACTATAGCAGCGACGAAAGCCGATTGTGATGTCGCCTAGCATGGCCTGCATCTGCTCCTAAACGTTGCGTATAAACACACCACAAAGACTACAGCCAACGGCCAGCTAGCACATACGTTCTGTGCCTGCCTGAGAAGAAATACCTGTCTACACCAGCAGGTGGCAGTCGTTTATATGCGTCATTCAAAAAAGGAAATCAAAGCCGTAAACTAAGCAGCTTTTTATTATGATTTTGAATATGCATCATGTTGATAAGTCGGTCTTCATCTTCCTCATTCCAGACTAGAATATGAAATAATCATCTATTGGAATACATAGAGAAGATGAAGGTCTTTCAGTGTGTGCCCTCTTTACGTCGTTTGCTTTTGCTTTTCTTCTCATGCACTGGTTCGCTAAGCTGAACAGCCAATCAGAGCGATCTGTCTCAACCCTGATTCAACACGCTCAATCAGCCAAAAAGCACTGGGCACTGGGCTGACAGACGCTCACTGACGGCCTGACTTTGGCCAACGACCGACTGTTGGTTTGGTGTGTCATGACCTTCAGAACTGACTGGAATTTAAGTTGTTTTTGTATGATAATCTTCCCCTTTGCCTAAACTCTGAAATCGTATTTATGTCAGAGTTAATATTCGACAAATGCTGCACAGAAACACCACGGCAGAAGCACCTGTGTTCGTTGCAACATAGGCTCATTGGAAATTCGTGCCTTTAGCTAAATTTCTGCAAAACTCAAAAAACGTACCTATATGTACGAATCGCTGCAGTTTCCAGTTAAAATGAACACTAGAGGCAGTGAAACTCTGACAACTTTTATTCCTTTTCACACAAAGTATGATTTACAGAGTTTTGATTAAGAAAGCCTAATTTTCACACAATTCCTTGCACAATATTATGTTATGACTTCAAAACGATTTTATCATGCTGTGAGATTTGGAAACTGATACTTCTGACCGTTAGCATCACACATACAGCTTCATATGAATGGGTTTTCTAACGCAGTAGGTTTGTCGGTGGCTCACGCGATACGGTACGAATCCTGTAAAACTACTGTACAGTTCGACAAAACAGCTCAAACCTGCGTAGAAGGAAGTTAAAATAGCACGGTTGCATCAGCTAATGTGTTTTATATCACTTTTGCATTCGTTAACACTATCAGGTAGGTTTAGGGTTGGGTTTGGAGGAGGGGGTTTGTTATTTTTCAACACGATAGAGCATTAACCTTTTAGCGACACTCACCGGACATTTCTCTTTGAAACTGCTGTGAAACGTGCAATAAGGTATGTAATATTGATGTTGCAGAAACGTCGCCACAAGCACGTCTTTCCAATGAGCCTAGGTTGGGTTTCTGATATACATCCACTGCTTTGCAGTAGCAATTTTGCTTTGTTTATTAAAAGTTGTACACAGGCCAGTTTTGAAGTCTGGACCACCCTTGTCAAAAGAAAAATTTTTTTTTTTTTTTGACCTACACAGTTCTTTATATTCTTAAAAAGAATGAAAAGGCAAGTTCTACCGAACCAACAGAGCTCCTACCTGGACTCCATGGTGTCTTTGGTGAGATAGACAATCCAGTAGACCAGGTTGAAGGCCCCAAAGGACAGAGGAAAAAGGATGCGTGAGTATTTGTCAATAATACTAGTTGCCAGCATGTTGTTGGCAGGGACAGTGGAGCCTTGCTGATGGAGATCAGGCTGTGGTGCTCTGGAGAACCTGTCAGGAGCATCTCTTTGAGAGAGAGAGTTCAGCCTTTTCTTCAGCACACCTCCAGGGTCCAGAGGATTCTACACACACACAGATTCATTTGTGAGATGAGAACAAGCGAACAGTTATCAAACTGTTTGACTGGTGACACAATGGACACTTTTCACATTTAAGTTTGGAACACGGACTAGCAGGGAAACAGGTGTAATGACAGACCACAGAAAATGTTATTACAGTGATACCTTTTTGCTCCAGTGATACAAACAAACAAATACAGCATGAAAATAATAACATCCACCCTTTTAGTGTTTCTTTTGATTTTGTTGCAAAGGTAAATTTGTTGTAATAGAAAGCCACTTTAGGGAGGGTTGTGTAGTGATGTTGTAGCAGTGTTGACTAGTGTTTCAGACCAGATGGTGGATCAGCACCTAGAAAGGACCTCTACAGCCCTGAAAGACAGCGTAGACCAGGACAACTAGATGAGCCCCAGATACAGATCCCCTGTAAAGACCTTGTCTCAGACGGCCACCGGGACAAGACCACAGGAACCAGTTGAGTCCTCTGCACAATGTGACTTTGCTGCAGCCTGAAATTGAACTGCTGGTTTTGTCTGGCCAGAGGAGAACTGGCCCCCCGACTGAGCCTGGTTTCTCCCAAGGTTTTTTCTCCATTCTGTCACCGATGGAGTTTGGGTTCCTTGCCGCTGTCGCCTCTGGCTTGCTTAGTTGGGGACACTTCATTTCCAGCGATATCGTTGACTTGATTGCAAATGATTGCAAAGAGACTAATTAAACTGAACTGAGCTGGATGATGGCATCACTGAATTCAGTGATGAACTGCCTTTAACTGAAAAATTAGTGTTTACTATTGTCATTTTGCATTATTGACACACTATTTTCCTAATTAATGCTGTTCAGTTGCTTTGACACAATCTGTATTGTTAAAAGTGCTATATAAATAAAGGTGACTTGACTTGACTTGACTAGTGTTGAAGAGCTGTGAGAGTTATACTGCTACATTAAAGCAAACTTGCTAAAAAAACTTGCATTTTAATGTTTTATACACACTGTAAATTGATGCACTATGCTATTCTTTGGCTCTGTGTGTATTTGTTTCAAGGAGCCCCAGTATCTGCAATTATATTTTATTTTATTTTTTTTTCTCCTGGAGGCAAACTCACCAAACTTCAACCAGTCAATGTCTCTATAAAGAGCTGTTGGCCACACTTTATTTTAAGGTCCAATTCTCACTATTAACTACGACTTTTCCCTCAATAAACTCCTAAGTTGCTGCTTATTAATAGTTAGTAAGGTAGTTGTTAAGTTTAGGTGTGGGGTGGATTAATGATGTAGAATATGGTTATGCAGAATAAGGCAATCATATGTGCTTTATAAGTACTAATAAACAGCCAAAATGTTAGTAATATGCATGCTAATAAGCAACTAGTGAGAATTGGTCCCTAAAGTGTTACCGAAATGTTGTGGGCAACATATAATGTAATATTATTAATAGGTCGTAACCACTAAATATGATATTTAGAGCAGGTGGGCAACAATAACATCTGTAAAATGAACTTTAATTAGTCTTTGCTCTGAGTGAACAAGGTTATTCATGGCTTTTGTTTGCAGCGCCTTAGCCTTTTCCCGGCTGGGGAAAGTTTTGGCATGGAGCAACAGCTTTGACTCGGTTCCATCATTGAGCAGGTTTCCAAGCTGTGAGTGTCAGCTGCAGATTACTGTGTCACCCAGGGAGCACCTGGCTCACGCTGCCATAATATCGCAGCTATTTTTGACACCGCAACAGGCAGCACCTAACTCAGGCTAAATACACAAGGCAATGGGACATTCACACCCTTCTCTGGCTCTTTACATGTAGTTCCTTAATGTGCACCATTGCACTGTTCTCCAAAAGAGCCATCATATATGCTTATTTAATCTTTTTAGCTCCAGATTTGCTTACTGCTGCCATTGGTTGAGCGAGAAGCTGACATGTTGAAGAGCTGTGCTTTAAAGAAGCTTCAGGAAATCAAACTACAGACATTTTTTTTTAAAGCAAGACCACTTTTTTATTTTTTATTTTTTAGGCACTGGTCAATTTTGGCTATTTTGCTTCAATTTGCTGTCTTATTTCAGACTAGTGGAAAGTAAACATCCAAAATGCATATTTTATTACACTTTATCTATTTACTGTACGTCTCTAGATTTCAATTACAATACATAAAATTAAAATATATTTAAAGGCAGTTTTCTCAGTGACCCACTAATCCAGAAATAGCACTTTCATACACCAAACTTTTTTTTTTCTGGCTATTGACATTATTTTAGATTTATGGAGTGATAAAAAAGAGAAATCCACAATCATCTCTGTAAAAACCTTTAACTCTAATAAGTCAACAAAATGAAACAAGTTTTTAAAAAGGGCTCTATCCAATATTTAGATTTCTGTTCTGGAAATGTATGCAAATTAGTGCATATTGAATTTAATAATGCCTAATCTCCATATTTATTTATTCATATTTATCTATATTTATTTATATCAAGTTACCATTTCAGAAAACTTGTAATACAAAGCAATTGTCTGTGATTAATCAACTGGGTAAATGGTGATCTCTTAGTAATTACCCTAAACAACAGTTTTTTACCCTGTAAACTTAGATATTGGAAACGTGGAAATTTAAATATCCAAATTAGGTAGCACTTTAGTTTAGGGACCAGTTCTCACAGGGGAGTATTCAGGAAACCTGCTGGAAAAGGAAAAAGTAACACTTGTATGGGTCGATCATGTCATGAGCCAGTTACTGTAGAACTGTTTTTACACAAGTCTTTTGTCAAAAGAAGCACTTCCAATCCACACTGCTACAATTCTGAGTTTATACCATGCACAAAACTGAGATACAGTCTCTGTCGTTATGCCTGTGACTTTACACGCAGTGGAACTCTAATGTGACTTCACACATTAATTTACTCACTCCGGGCAAGAGTACGATGGCATTGCGTCGACCCCCTCCAGCAATCATGCGAGACACAGAGGATAGATCTCCTCGCTTTGAGCCTGGCATGCTTTCGCTTGGATGTTTTGCTACATTGAACTGATTATATAATCTGCAGCAGTATAATGGCTAGGGAGGCCACTGGCTGTCTCCTTTCGTCTAGTGTGCCTGTTATCAACTAAAACGAGAGCGAACCATGAAAGGGAGAGAGGCTGGAATGAATGGAGGCACAAAGAATTACCGTAACAACTTCTCCATCACTTCTGGCCGCAGCACAGGCCATGTTGGCGCGACGAAGTTCCTTATTGGCCTGCAAGGTGGAGAAATAGTTGACAGCAGCGAACTCGATAAGGGCTGAGAAGACGAACGCGAAGCAGACGGCGATGAACCAGTCCATGGCGGTGGCATAGGAGACCTTGGGTAACGAGTGACGAGCGCTAATGCTCAGCGTGGTCATGGTTAGTACTGTGGTGATGCCTGTCGAGAATACATGAAAAAAAAGAAAAAAGAATCCAGTTAGCTTGACTGATCTTAGTAAGTCTAGTTAAAATTCCCGTTCTGTTCTCAGTCAATTAGGTTCAACTTGCCTCAGTTCAACCCAATCCTAAACATTAACGAAAAAAATAAAGTAAAAATTGCACAACTGCAACTAAACTTTCTGAACGATGAAAAACTCTTGATTGGAAAATGTAAAATATGAAAATTAAGTCACACTTTAGTTTGGGGACCAATTCTCACTATTAATTAAATATTGACTATGACTTTTGCCTCAATAAACTACTAATTTGCTGTTTATTAATAGTTATTTAGGTAATTGTTAAGTTTAGGCATGGGGTGGATTAAGGGATCTAAAATATGATCATGCAGAATAAGACATTGATATGTGCTTTATAAGTACTAATAAACAGCCAATATCTTAGTAATATGCATGCTAATATGCAACTAGTTAATAGTGAGAATTGGTCCCTAAACTAAAGTGTTACCGAAAATTGTCTGGGAGCATTTAAAACATTTAATGCATTTCATCAGACAAATGACACTGTCTCAGGCAACACACATTTATGGACATTTACTTGAAGTGCAGCCTTTTTTTTTTTTTTTCCTCATATGATGTTTATGTGTTATTACAATTCAAAGGAAGGCCAATTATTCATGTGGTTGAAATTTGTAATTTGTAAAACCAAAAGGCACCAGGATTTTTAGACAGGGATATCGTGATAGCAGTGATATCAGTAAAGTATGCATTCATTTAGTGGTTTTCAATCATCCTAAAACGAGTATGAAAGCTGCAGTACGAAAGCTATATCTTTCAGAGAAGATAAAAATGTTTGAAAGCTATATCTTTCTGGTTGTTACGATATGACAACACCTTGAGTCCAACAAGAGAAGTGTCAGTGTTCTAGTTTTATGCAGATTCTTAGTTTGCACATGTTCTATTATCTTGTTTGTATAAATTGTGTTTCCCGTGTTTCTGGTCTGGTCTTGTGCTTGTATGGATGTCATGCTGGTGAACTCAGTTCTGTTTCTCGTTTTGCATTTTTGCTTTACTCTTGTTGTTATTATTAAAAGAACATGCAGTTGGATCATTTCTCCCATGTTTCTGAGCACCAACATAAAGGGGCTGATGGGAAAATGCAGGGTGGGGGGCAGTGTACAGTTATTTTATAAAGGATCATAGAGACCAATGGGCCGCTGGTGCGTGTTAGCTCTATTGAATAGGTCATTTACTCAAAGCTCTGCATGAACTCACATGGAAAAGCTCCAGGATAAATAATAGGCATTAGTTCAGTAAGGGCTGGAAAGCCTTTGAGATTCAAAGTGAAGAGATGGCAGATAACATTATTTAATAATTTGGTCATATTTTATTTCACATCTAAAGCAGCACATCTGTTTGACAAGTATTGCTTCATTTAATAAAATATATTTATAAAATAGTAACCCAAAGGCAAGGGATTTTTATTTTATGAGAAAATAATGGCCTTTTTATATTTCATTGAGTTCATCTTTTCTTAATGTTTGGAACAATACTGTGTTGGATACACTGATGACTTGGTTCTTATTTCTCTGTCAAATGGATGTCAATAGTCCAACTTGTTTTGAGTACATTGGAAATCTTGTTAAGTGGTTTGACAATAGTACATAATTAATCTACTATTGAACATAAAAAAAACCCCAAGGAATTATGTTGCGGGGATCAAAGAAGGACAGGAATGGTTGAATGTTCATATAAACAAGTTACTATTAAGGGTACCAATGTAGAGCAAGTTTCAAATTCGAAATATTTGGCCACAATTATTAATGACAGGAAAATGTGGAACACATACATAAGAAGGCAAGACAATGTCTAGGTCTACTCCGGAAGTTAAGGAATTTTAATATTGATCGGAAGACCCTGACCATGGTCTATAAAGATCAATGGTTGAAGGCATTCAAACACACACTATTGTTTTGTGGCACGGTAATTTAACAATGATATATGAACACAAATAATTAAGGAAGCAAATAAGTTGTCTAGTTGTCAAGATGCCAGTGTCAAAGATGAATTTCTGTTTGGTGAAAATCTGAACAGACAACATTTTAAGTAAATTAAATCCATAACTGCAACATTGCATCGTTTTAGCGGTCTAGATTACTGAATGAGCCTGGGTTGCAACTTTCATTGTTTTCTGCTGAGAGCAAACTCTATAACATATCTAGTCATGCTGTCACTTTACTTTACATTTGCTAAGATTCAGTTTAAAATATACATCTCACATAAGTAAAACAAATCTGGTCTTTCTGTTTTTTTCCCCCACACTATGCCCCATCTTCTCAAAACCTCTTACTTTGAGGTCAAAGGTATTGCTGATACAATCTGCAAAGCTATCCACATCAGGACTGGCTTGCTGTGTTTTTGTTGGACTGCTGTGGGTGATCTATAGGGCAGCTCATGGTGTCAATGGGTCGAGCAGATAGAAATTAGATACGTTTTGTCACCCAAGGAGAGACCACATTCAAGAGAGGGAGTATCTGCTATGAAACAGTAACAATGAAACATACCCAGGTCTTAATAGAGACACTGATATTATATGGCAAGCACAAAGCTTGATTCTAGATGACCAAGCCCAATAGAGACATAACAGCAGTCCATTATAAATGAACCTTCAGGATCAGGTTTGCTTGTAGCATAGGGTGACCATACGTGCCATTTTCCCAGGACGCGTCCTGGCCAGGATTTCTATATTGCCTAAAATATCTAGGTTTTGGCTTTGTTTGCGTGTGCAGACCGATCAGTGTATGACATCAAAGTTTCTGAAGACTTGGAATGTAAAGGCTTGTGTTTGTAAATGTACTTTTATGCAGCATAACCTAATGCATATTTTTAAAGCCACAATGCTATGATGAGTTTTTTTAAATGATTGATTTATTTACTTAAAGCGGGAATTGCACTGGTTAAATTAACTGAACCGGATCATTATTACTGTTTTCATACAGTTAAAGAGACTTACAGTATTATTCTGAGCTATCTTTTTTAAACAGCTCTCAGGTGTTCAATAGAATCTGATAGATGTCCAATACACAAAGCTGTGTTTCCCAAAAGCATCATTATAGCCTAAGTAGACTGTAGAAGCCACATGCATCTATACAATCTGCACACAATGCTTTTGGGAAATGCAGCCTAGTATAATTCCTTACAGAAGAGACATGAACATATTATGTCTAAAAGCAATGTACTTGAATAGATCAACTCCGGTCTCATAAGTAACACTCATAACTACTACAATAAATATCCACATAGCTCATTTACTCTTTTCATCCTCATGGTCCTATCAAACTGATGTCTTTCACAGATAAATATAACTTGAGCTTTCGTCTCCACAATCTAATTAAAAAACTCACTGAATATTCAACTTCAGCTTCAAATCAAAGGTTAACATCTAGACAGATTCGATTTACAAGAGAACACGTTTAACGGATCCTTAGCATGACAGGAAATGTTATTAACATTACGGTATTTAACTGTAAATTTAAGTTAAAACCGTAAAACCTAAAACGTTGCTACCGTTGCTAAAATTCCGGCAACCACAGCACATACAAAGCTACAAAACAGATTTCAGTACTTCAGTAGGTTGGTATATTAACATTACGGTATTTAACTGTAAATTTAAGTTAAAACCGTAAAACCTAAAACGTTGCTACCGTATTTTTTTACGGTAAAATTCCGGCAACCACAGCACATTTTTTTTACAGTGTGTAAAAGTGTTTGGTTACCCATCAAGTGTTTGGTTACCCACAATCTTTAAAATAGATTTTTTTTGATGTTCAAAAAAGGACTTGAGGGTGAGTAATGATGACAGAATGTTCATTTTTGGGTGAACTATTCCTTTAAGTCTGCAGGCAACTTTATTAAAACATCTTTATTATCGCAATCTTTGCACTAGTTTCTATGAGAGTTTGGATATATAGTGCCCCAAACAAGACATATTACATAAAAAAATTCAAATATGATTCCAAAACCGTTTCACCCTCTTATGCAAATTGAATATGACAGCTTGCACAGGCTTTAATTGTTTCATGCTGATGTGTTTTTCACAAAGAGAAAAACTTTAGCTGTAGGTTATAGACTGATACACTCCTAATTGCCCAATAAGCTCATTCTAATGGCCCCATTCAAACACAAGAGGGAGACCACAAAGACAGATGCTTCATTCGTGCATACCAAATTAATCAGCCGAAACAGCAATGAGGACAAAGTAAACGTTAAGAGCCTGCAACTTTAAAGCGCAGCAGTCTGGTTCAGTCAAAGGTAAAATAAAATAACAGTAAAAAATATATATTTGCATCCTCTGAAAAACGGATTATTCTTCTCGTGTTTCTGTTTGGAAAGGAGGGCAAACAGAGGAAGGCAAGGAAGAGGATCTCAGTATGTTTGCTTTTATCCTACACCACCACAGAACAAGGGCCAAGGCACTTTAACTGATTTAGGACCTTCGCCAACAACTGCCAAGAAGAGTGCATTAAGATAATGAAGCAATCTACATAAGAAGACAACAGAAAATGTGCATCATCTCATCAAGTTATAAATGACTGCTTAGCAAATTCGTCTGGTTTCTTTTCTGTTTATGAAGAAAGACTTTGATGTATATTTATGATGGCACAATTTTGATGAGAACGTTCTGTATTGGTCTTGCAATTCACACCTCACTTTAAATTGTACTGTACCTATATAGATTCATTTGTTTCAAATCTGTTGTGTTTAAAATACAAACACCACCTGCTTTCTGTGGCTCAGTTCCAAAACTTAGTGAGCCGCCTTGCACTTTACAGCCTACATAGACTGCTGCCTTTTAAAACAGAATCCTAACTGAAACTGAGCCTCAAAAGTGACTGATTTGTAACAGTCGATATCATGCAGCAACTCACAATGTTTAGCATTAGTGAGTTAATTATGAACATAGAATAAATTGGTGAAATAGCCTTAGTAAAATAATTCAGTAGTCCTCACTTTAGTCTGTTTAAATGGTACTGATTACTTATAAGTAATTTCTATCACTTCGTCCACTGCCTTGATTTTTTTCACTGAGCTTGTTGCTATGCATGCTAGGATTGCATTCTGTGTGAGGAATACATTAGAATGGAATACATAATGATCTTAGAAGACATAATGTTGCTGCCTACCTTTTAGAACAACCTTAACGTCAAGAAACTATGATCTATTGTGCCTTAAAATGCTGCAGCTCACTAGGTCTAAAATACAAGTTCTCATTTCAAATCTGATTTTGTATGCATAAAATGCCATGCACTTTAGTATTAGCATATTGGTGCCTGTGCAGTGAGCCCAACTAATGAACAATTAAAAAGGAAATAAAAACAGAGGCTTACCAAACACAGTTCTGGCCGGTACTGACTCCTTGTCGATCCAGAAGGAGACCTGTGCTAGGATCACAGTCATAATGCACGGGATGTATGTCTGGATCAAGAAGAAACCCATTTTCCTCTGCAGGTGGAAGTACACCGTCATGACTATGTATTCACCTGTGAGAGATCAGTGGAATAGGCAATCCTAAACTACAAACCATAGATTCTGTAGAAATGCATTCAAGACAAATAGAAAAATACATCAGCACATTTTCAACCCATCATGACAATGTTTTAAGAGGTTTGCATTAAGAAATGCTGTCAGAATTGGTAAACCAGAAAACATTTGTCATTGAATCATACGTCTCAAAGCTCATACCTGTGCTTGACTTCAGCCTCTCACTAGACACCGTCTGTCCAATGAGATCATACTGTAGCAGACTGGAACTCTCCTGAGGAACCTCCACTGAAAATAACGGCCCTTTCTTCCATGTGTAAACAATCTCACTCATTGGGTAGGCATCTATATTAGGCACAAATCCAGACTGAAGTCAGTCATACCAGTAAATCCATTCAGAGGAAATATGTGGCATTTTAAACATACTTACAGCTGCCAAATTTCAAAGGACATGAATGTCCATCCATTGGAAAATTGATCAGCCGCATGGGACACTCAGCATTGATGGTTAACCTGAAAACAATAAAAGCATCACTTTTAATTTATGTGAAATAACAAATGATCAAATTATTTCTTAAACTCTATACACAGTGAGCACCCCCATATGGGAAAATCCTTCATTTTGTATTTGCATTAAAGGGACAGCTCACCCAAAAATCAAGATTCTGTCAATCTTGTTCCAAACCTATGTGATTTTTTTGGTAACACTTTAGTATAGGGACCAACTCTCTCTATTAACTAGTTGCTTATTAGCATGCCTATTATTAACAAATTGGCTGTTTATTAGTACTTATAAAGCACATATTCTGCATGACCATATTCTATATCCCTAATCCGACCCAATACCTAAACTTAACAACTACCTTACTAACTGTTAATAAGCAGCAAATTAGGAGTTTATTGACACAAAAGTCGCAGTTAATGGTTTGTTAATAGCGAGAATTGGACCTTAAAATAAAGTCTGTTGAACACGATTAAAGATATTTTGAAGAATGTTGGTAACAAAATAGTTACCGGTAGCCATTGACTTCCATAGTATGGAATGAAAATGCTATAGAAGTCAATGGCTACCAGCAACTGCAACATTCTTCAAAATATCTTCTTTTGTGTTCAACAGAAGAAAAAAATCATATAGGGTTGGAACAACATGAGAGTGAGTAAATGATGACAGGATTTAAATTTTTGGCTGAACCATGTCTTTAATGTTGTTTTGCACTGATTTTATACACTTCCCCCTACAACTTTTATTATCAGCATTTACAATTTTAAGTATACATTTTATTATAGTTACAGTTAACCAGTACATGGCATATAATAGCATAGAATAGCAAGTGTGCAGTGCATCTTTGACTTGGAGAGCAAATGTTTTGGCACGCAGGTTACCTCATGGTGTACAGAATAGTTCCGTTCTGCATGATGCGGAACAGCTTGTTGGGAGTGGTCATGTTGTGCGAAATAGAACGTTTGCCATTTCGGAAGAAAGTGTCCGGTGTCCAGATCTTGCTGACCATTAGGTTGTTGAGACGCAGGATCTCAATGGGGCCCTCAAATTTCAGTCGGTCGTCCATCCACGTTTGCCGAAAAAACACATCCATTGTGTATTCCTAAGAGATTGTTTTAAGGGTTTTAGAAGATATACACATGACTGCAGTTTTAAATAAACACAAATCAAAATTATGTGTGCAGGGCATGCAAAAAAAACAAAAAAAACAAACAAACACATCAGCAAAGTTCACTCTGGAGTGGTATTTTTTATGCTTTATCTTGGCGGAGACTTATCTATACTGTCTTTCGGATTGTCACAGTGGATCACATGGCAAGCGAGGTGGCTTTGCACACTGTAGAAAAATAGTGTAGTGTGTAACAGAGGAAAGAAAGCTGAGCCGGGACCCTCACTGTCAGGGATTGTCAACCAGATTAAAATCCCTAAACTGCTGTAATGACATCCTGCTCAAATGTCAGAATAATGAAGCCAGGGCTAACGTGACTAGAGGCAGTGGGCATAGAAAACATGCAATTACGGTGGGTTTATGTTTGTATGCATGTTTACTTGTATCATACATATAACTGTTTTACTCACATACCATTTCCACATCAGAAACTGGACCAAAGCTGGTGACAAAGATGTCCGTTTTAACCTCTGTGACAGGCCCTACAGTTTATTTTTTAAATACATACATAATAAAATTGAATTAGTTTGAAATAAAGAAAAACAATCTTAGTTTATTCATTACACAAAACACATTAAACAAAATAATCTTGCAAAGCGATAAGGCAGTTTCTGATTAAGAACTTGATGAAGTCTCACACGCAAAGACCAGAATCATTTACAGTGACATTTTTTTTGTTTTGTGAAAATTGGATTCAACTCCCTAAAGTAAGACTTTAATATGTAAAGTGATTCCAGCACGTGCCTACCTCCAAATCCAGGTCGCAGTCTGTTGTCATATCCATCTAATAATCTGTCCAAAATGCGCGTAATGTTATCCAAATATATCCTCGTCTCGGTTGGCGGATTTGCAAACACCTGACCAACACTGTAAACAGACTCAAAACTTTATTTCCATTTTCACACATGAACAAGCAAAGCAGAAAAATAAACACGCATGCAAAGTCCGATAAAAGCACTTTGCTACTTACCAAGAGAGGAAAAAACATGTGCGTATCCAAGCCATGCTTTGCGCGCGCTCTCTATCCAAGTGTCCCCTTGTCAACTAGTGTTAGTTGCACGTCCCATAATTTCTGTGTGCGAAAGGAGCTGGTGCGGTCGCGAGGCTTGTGTGCGTAAATCTCGAAGCTTTTATGCCTGAAGTCTTGCTGGAGTTCCTCAGTGGGGTTGCGCTTCTTCTGACTCACTCCGAAGGAAAACTAAAGTGCTCTCTAAGAGGCGGAGTAGATGGAACCGAAGGACTTTGACAATGATCGAATAAAGCATCATGAGAGATTAGAGGAGAACGATAGTTTTGTCAGGGAATTATCCAAAGATTTTGGGAAAAGCGCAAATGTTCTGCATTTTCAGTTTACATTATGGTGCTATTTTATGCGTTTAAACTCTCACAAACTTTGTTAATGTGCATTCAAATACTTGAAACTTTAATGAATGCATCTTTATATTCATAATTAAATGCGCAACTACTGATCTTTTTAGGCATTGCATAATATTTTCCAATTTCTTATTAATAAGCTTTGTTTTAAAGTGTTACCAAACGCATTTTGAAACATATAGCCAGCATCTATTTAAATACTAATCTGTTTTAGAGTTTTTATCAAAACATTAAAAATAGCTTCTAGGTTAGATTTCAGCAGTTCTTCTGACAGTTTTCACTTGTTCATATTTCGTGGCTGTCTTGCTTACAGTTAGGGTGAGAGTGTATAATATTAAGAAGAAAGATATTGTCGTTATTAGTTTTTGTTCTCTTTGTGATATTGTTGCAGAAGACAATATTGCATTCTCGAACAGTGAATTCATTCAGGTCACTTACCAGTCAAAAGATTTTCATAAAGAACTGTGTATGAGGCAAAATGTTATGTATGCTGAGATTAAAGTTTATACACTGTCAAAAATGCACAATAGTTTTGGATGAAATATGGGTGTTTTTTTTATGAACCATGTTTGTTTATTTTTGTTTCGTGATTATTTGATACAAAATCACTAATGCTATAAAATTTCATGGCCAGCAATGGTGATAAAATGGCTCTCTCTATGCGGATACAGCCTTTTTCACTCACTCAGAATTGATGGGATCACTTCTGCACTAGGATGGCTCTTTCCACAGGAGCTTATACAGATGATGCTGTTTGAATCTTCTTGGCATCACTGTAACAACACTGGGCCATTATCCTAATCCACAGTCATACGGTTTTAATGCATCAAGCCCTTATACATCATTTGATTCGTCTCAAATTTGATGGGCCCTTCAGTGTGCATTGTCAGGGAATGACAATTACATGCTGATGTGGGATTTAAGGCAGGATTTATAATTCAGTTTCATTCCAAACCCTGGATGGGAGAAGTTGCCACCAGGTCACTCCTTCCAGTTGTTGTCCACTCCATGAAATAAGGTCGGTTCTATTTGTACCAAAACCGAGACATGATAATCGTGGAGCTTTTAGAAAATATAATGATGGCAGAGGAGGTTTCTGATGTGACCGTTGAACAATGAGATTGCTGGGATGTGAAATACCAGCAGAGGCAGGCCTGTTGAGCACTGAAGCATAGCGAGAACTGGGAGGCAAAAACCAAGCAGAGCGGGTCACTAGAGCGTGAACGGGGGTAAAGGTGTGCCAACAGACATGGATACTGTGCTTCTGGTCACAATAACAATACACCCAAGCAAATGTTCTCTGTTTGGTCAGTATGGCACTCTGTAAACAACTGTGTAGCAGCTGGCTTTTAGAGAGTGGGAGATATGAACACTGCACTCATGCAGTTGTGTGAACATCACACCAACTATTAATTCTGAGTTATGCAGAATGACCTTGTATGTGAAATCCACAAAATCAAATTAACTATGGCGAACTTGAGTTTACAGATTTGTGAATACATAATTTATTTTAACCATGTTCATTTATGGGTTTGGGAGAGTCTGTTTCCCCTTTAATACACACTTATCATTAAAGTATCAGGTTGATTCATCCATTCCAAATCAACTTAACCACAAACAGAAACAGTGTGTCTAAACTGGATGCTAAAATTACAACTAAGCTTTCTTTAAGCTTTCTTAAATTATAACTAAGCTTTTTTTCTTTAAAGGAGACATATTATGCCCCTTTTTACAATATGTAATCAGACGCTTGCAGAAAAAGGCTTCCCAAAACAAAGTTACAGGGTTAATCTTTTTCACGTTTCCTTGGTAGGTAGATGCACCGGGGACCTGATTATAGCACTTAAAACCTGGAAAAGTCAGTTTTTCATGATATGTCACCTTTAAATTTCTTTCATACTTTTATTACAGTATATATACATTTTGTTTTAAATGGTAAAATCTAAAATGCCCCCAAATTCAAGATAAAGGGACAAAAAAAAAAAGGCCCATACACAGTCTAAATCTATTATGGCTGTCAAAAGTGACAATTAACCCCTTCAAAACTGTTTTGTGTGTGTGTGTGTGTGTACTTGCTGGTTGATTTCATACATATATGATCGTGTGCATTGTAGCATCAAGGAATCAGTGTGTGTGTGTGTGGTACATTCTTCTTAATATCATAAACCTCTATAACAAATGAAAAACTGAATGACAAAATCATTTTAACACTCAATAAACTTTTTTTTTTTTTTTTAAATGTTTAATTTATAGCTCTTTATTTTGAAATGCTTGCACAAATTTCACAACCTGCCACACAACTACGTCATGAGGTTCCCACTGATATCGTTCAAGACCTGATGTCCATTGTGTATATATATACAGAGGCGGACAGTAACTAAGTACATTTACTTGAGTATTGTACTTAAGTACACTTTTTGAGTATCTGTACTTTACTTGAGTATTATTTTTTCTGGGAACTTATGACTTTAACTTCACTACATTTGAAAGACAAATATTGTACTTTTCACTCCACTACATTTCTATCAAGATCCTCGAAGTAGAAAGTCGTTAGCAACTTTGAAAGTCAGTGGGTGATTTCTTTCTTCTCTAAAAACTGTATTTTTTTCAGACAGTTTATCAGTAATCACTCCTGTAGGGCTACATGAAATGATTTCCCAGCATTTTTTGAACACTGACCAGTTGCA